TATTTTTTTTCTAGTAGAGAATAGTCTACTTTACTCGTCTGTCAATTAATACTGATAATATATTGGATTTTTTGTTAGTTAAAAATAGTTAAGTAAAAAATGTTACAATTGACCCCACTCTCCCCTACCCTTTTGATTCATGTTAAAATATATTTTACTTTCAGCGTATCATTCATTTTTGTTGCATTTGTTAATTTTTGTTCATGACTTTTGTTAAAATTTAAAATAAAAGTTCTGTTTATGATCAAGCTAAATATATAATTATACCATCCAATCTAAGCACCGTTGAAACATGCACAAACTTGTTCTAAGAAACCAAAGGAAAAAAAATTAGTTATAATTGGTTTTTAAGACAAGAATCGTAATCAAAAACTTTAGGGAGAGAAATGTAAAAGGAAAGATGCTATTAATCCTAGAATATCACGTATTTGCTCGCAATGCTGCAATGAAATTTCTCAACCTGATTCAACCAGAAAATATTCATATAAAAATCGAACTGCATAAAACAACATAAATTCCTCTATTCAACTTTTTATAAAACTAAAATTAGTTTATTAAGGAATATTAAACTATTGGCACATTTATGTTTCGTGACACTTCATCAAGTTTTAGTTGTCCTTTTTTCTTTCTTTTTTTTTTTTAAGTCCTAATTTGAAATGAATAATTAATTTGCCACACCGAGAGATGAATGAATTTTTCTTTCTGTTGCATTACTTCTGTCGCATACCTTGGCTGAAGTCAAAGTCTGAAATTTTATTTAAATAATGTTATTACTTTCTTAATATTATATTATTCTACAATTTATATTATGTGAAAGTTGAAGTCGAATAAATTAATGTTTTTTTTACATGATTTTGTTGAAAATTTTTCTTAATGTACCGAATTTTCGTGAATTAAACTTTAAAGAAAATATAACATAATTTTAAAAATATTTAAATTACATTGCTAGTTTTTTTTTTTTTTTTTTTTTTTTTTTTTTTTTTTTTTTTTTTTTTTTTTTTTTNTTTTTTTTTTTTTTTTTTTTTTTTTTTTTTTTTTTTTGTTTTTTTTTGAACTAAGTGTTTCTTTCAAGATACTATCTATGTGCATCTTAACAAAGTAACATTAATAAAAACCATGATATGAAATTACATTTGAACAAATTATAACAGCATTTAAAGAGTTGAAACGAATCGAAAATATCTATTAAGTATGTAATGTCATAAAACGTGTTGAAGAACAGGAAGCTTCTGTGTAACAAGCACGTGTCTAATAAACCAAGATAGAAGAGAAATGACATCAAAATTTGCATGATTTAGACTTTTAAATTTAATTAATTGCAATAACCATTTGAATGTATCTTATGAGGAGAATCAGCTCTTAAGGAACAAGATGGATTTGACAAAACATAATCTAATCTAACTTTTAGTTCATAGTCGGTAAAGCACTTTCTTTTCTTTCTTGGTTTAAAAATGAGAGGAAAGTTACTTCAACGACCAATCACATAGGAAAACTCAGTGACTGGCTACTCCTGATGAAACGCAATGAAGTAAACAAGCTAAAAATAGAGCAGCTAGCCCTTATTGGCGGAAGAAAAATGCATGCGAGCTCCTCCTATAAAATCGCACAAGTTCATAAGAATTTTCATAAGAATTCTCTTTTTTCATACAGATAAATATATTGGTTTATGTGAATTTTATGCGAAGAATATTCAATCAATACCGGTTTTCATTACTAAAAACAATAAAAGAAGTGAAACCGACTAGAATATATTACTGATATACAAAATTGTTAGGCCATATATTGGAGCCTTTAATATTTTAAATAAATCTTTAGAAGTTCAAAAAGTTATAGTGTACCATCTTTCCTCGTTTAACATTTAAACGTATTTATTTCCCACCTTACATTAAAGTCTTTATATGAAACCTTATATTAAAGTTCCTACCTTAAAGTTCCACCTTATATTACGTCTTTATTTTCCACCTTAGTGTGCAAAAATATATCGTGATTTCCACATTTTCGTACACAAGAGAGAAGTAAGTAGTGGTATGTGATTAAAAGCTTCTTAAAAATGCAAAATAAAAATATATATAAAATAAACAACAGAAGAAATCAGACACACGAGTAGAAAAATTTCAAACTTGGTTTAAAAATTAACATTCGATTAAAAGTTGCATTTGGGATTCGGGTTGAAAGAAAAATTATTAAAAAAAATTCTTTGCGAAGTTTAAGACATCAGCAGTTTTTAACGCAAAAGTAAAACTTAAAAGATTCCTAAAAAGACACTGAAAGTTTCATAGTATGAAGAACGTCTGTTTTGAGCAAAGAAACATCTTTAATATGAACTTAATCCTCTCAAAAGCTCAATTCAAGTCAAAAATCGCCGCAAATTCATATTATTCTTACTTGATAAACCCAAAATGAAATATTTTTTAAGGACATTTTTTCCTCTCTTTAAAATATATATACAGTGGAGCATCGTTTATACGACGCCGAAGGGACCACCGAAAAACGCCGCATAAACGATAACGTCGTATAATCGATTTTAACTTCTAAAACTGAAACTAACTCTGTTTTCAGTTAATTTTAATGTTTAACGTGTTGATTTACACAAATTTCTAAATTAGACAAAGCAGAACAAACAAGCAACCAAAGAAAAAAAAATTTCAGTGAGCAATTTGAATGTATGTTACCTTTAATTATATTTTCTTGCTATTAGTCTTTACAATGCTTTGAATAGCGAGTTGAACTTACTGCTTTCTATGATGCAATTTTAGATTTCTAATCACNATATATATATATATATATATATATCTTGTAAAAAAAACTCGGTAAATGTTTAACCAATACTTGATGCAAAGTTTCTAATTGAACCATAAATTTGTTAAGTGAAAAAATTTTTTATTTAGGTTGCACCATAAATTGGTAAATATGATCGAGAAATATTCATGGCGCAATCGATTTCACCAAACTATCGTACTATGAAAGGAACAAGCTTTAACTGTGACCGATAACTTATTTTGTAACTGTTGACAGATGAACAATTTTGTTGCCGAAGCTTGCTATCATCTCATGCAAGTTATCTTTGAAATTTCTTTTGTAGGTATGTCAACTTTTCTCATTTATTTGCAATAATTACAGTTCATTTCTTTTATATCATCTTTATAAATTTTGTTACGTGTTCTAAAAAAGTTAGTTTCAAATTTCTTCTAGGAAACTATATTCGTTGTATGAATAATTAAATAGTATAAAATCTATATTAACTCTTTTTCAGTAAATAAGGAGATACAGTCGTCCCCACTTAATCGCATATCGGATAACCGAATAGCTCGCTTATACGAATGAGATTTAATGGAACCAAATCATTTTATATGAAGCTTATGTTAAACTTCCCCGTTTAAGAGAATATTTGTTGTTTTCGGTACCCGTCTAATTGTATAAAATAGAGGAACTAAGATGAAATTTTTATTTTTTTATTTTTGAGAAATGTTTCACCATTTGAAATGGAATTACCGTTTTTCAGTTAAGATACAATAGGTGATTACTTCAATAGGGACTTCTTGTTCATTGCTTGGTCTAAAGAGGCGTTAGAGGCAAAGTTGAAAAATTAATCAAATCTTTCTGCTTATTATACATTGAAGTAAACGAAGGGGTTTTACCCCTCTTTGACTTACTTCACTCACACATCATTCAGAACGCAAAAAAAAGTACGGATTGTTTTGTCGTCAAAACTTGTGGTCCCCTTCTGGTGCGCTATGAGCTTTGAAAAGAAAAAGTTTCAAAAATCAAACACACTAGTGTACAATGCGTCTTTCTCTTAAGTAGAATAATCATTGCTTAATCCAGTGAACAATGATTGGAAGTTGTGTGCGAAAAGGAATGATTTGAATTAATGGAAGGGGAAAAAACAATGAATTTTGTTAGCGATAAGTTTCAAAAACTCCCAAGCTATTGTAAAACAGGGCATAAATTTTGAATCTCTCAAGTTTCGAGAAATTGAAAATAATAAATAAGTAAAAATAAAAATTCTGAATATGTTTGAAAGGAATACGCAAGTCATGAAAGTCTTACTAGAAACTGAAAGGGAATATCTAATTTTGCTAAATTGACGAATTGAAACGGGTATAAAAACAATCTTCAATTATAAACTTTTTCGGAAGGGATTTCCTTTATTTATATTAATTCCTTTATTTATTTATTTGAATTCTAGTCCTCCCGCCATTCAGGACATTGCATGCTTTTTTATCAATAGTGCAGAAAAGGAGTCAATATAACATTTTGTGAGTGATTAAGGCATCAAGATGCAAGAATCATTTTACCGGTTTCTTACTCAAAGAGTGTTACGAAGAATAAAAAAAAAATGTTTGTTGAATTTTTTCGTACGAGATGTAAATTCTTTATTAATATAACAAAAAGTAGTAAAATGTACTGTCATCTAAATTCAATTTTTATACAAAATAAGGGGGAAAAAACAAATTTAGCGGACATTGTGTTCGAACTTGTTTAAATTTGTTAATTATTACAATTGCCCTTGTGGAAAAAATCTTCTACGCATGCGCTGTAACGAATCAAGCTATATTATGAAAGAGTTCTTTTTTTCTTCTTTAACAACAAAAATAAACGCATTTATTTAACAACCACACATAAAGTAACAAAAGTAAAAAACCCGTTAAGAGTTTAACCTTGCAGAAAAATATAGAAAACCCCGTAACGGGATAGTATAAATCTCAAATTCAAATACAAAAACTATCTCCTCAAAAATCAATAACTCTCTGGTGTTTCATAAATTGTCTCGTTCCTTTATTTTTTCCTTTATTTTATCTCGTTATATGTCTTATTTCTTTTTTTCATACCTCTGTTAGCCTGATACTTTTTTTAATATTTTTAGAGTTAATAACTCCTCTCCCTTAGTAAAAACTTTTCCAGAGAAAACAAAAGAAAAGTTATTTATAAACTCATTCATTTACTTCTTTAAATTTTAGGTTGAAACCAAATGCTATAACCAAAACATTTCACTTTAAAAACTAAATTTCCTAATTGTCAAATTAAATGCAACATATAATTTTTACGTTGGAGGTGATGCACAATATTTAACTGTAAAGCTTAAAACTACTAAATTGTTTTTAGTCTCTTGCCGTACACATTAGAAGACAATTCATTTGTAACTAAATTTAAATACCAAACTAAAATATTCAAAATAAAATTAGAATGTAAATAGATACTATAATTTAACTTCGCATGAAATAAATACAAAGAAATATAACTGTATTTACATATATACAACAATATCTAAGGACAGAAGTTATCCAGATTTTTTTTTTTTTTTTTTTATCTTCATGACACTAATTTTAAAATCAAATAAAATACTTAACACTTTTAAACTTCACATATTTAGATCCAAGCCCAATCTTATTAATATTTATATCCGTAACTAAAAAAAAAAAAGTAGTAACATAATTTAAGACTAACACTTTTCTCTACAATCAAATTCACTTTCATTTTCAAGTACAATCATTTTAAACACTTTACTAAATGAAACTAAACTGGTTCAATTTCAAAATTTTCACTATATTCTTCTTTTATATTTCCCGCCTAATTTAAAACTTTTAATCAAATTTTAATAGCAAACTAATTTCTTCACGAGTTAATTTTTTTTAAAAAGTAAATCATACATATGAATAAGGAAGTAAAACTACACAGCATAATATTTATAATTATATAAACAATCTTTAAAACAAAGCAAAAGAAGAAAAGAAATAGCAAACAAAAATCTTATTATAAATAAAAATCATTTGAAGTGAAATAATTAAAAAACTCTTTCTCGAATATCTATTTAAACTTTTTTTAGTTTAGTTTAAGAACAATAAGCCTAAATTTCAATTATCTTAATGTTTTTCTCTTTTTTTGGCGATTTGATAAATTTTCATTTACTCTTAAAACAACAGTCAAATGTGGGTTAACTGGCAAATTTCGAGCTGTCATGACTTCTGTTGTAAATTTTAATATTCCTTTACCAGTCTTTGGCACTAACTTCAGTGGTTTAAGGCTCGGCTTTGGTTTCAGAACCAGGTCCCAAATTAAGAATGTACTTTTCTTTATCAAGCCCCTGTCTATAAGGGAATATTTATCATATTTTAAATTAGAAATTTTTTTTCTTCCTTTCTTTCCCCTTTTTTTTTTTTTTTTTTTTTTTTTTAAGATTTCCAATTTCAAGATCCCATTTCACCAATTATCTGCAACTTTTCTTTCTTTATCTTCAATTCTTTTCCTAAACTTCCACTTCCACTGATTAATTTTTCTGTCAAGTTTTACCAATCCTGCCAAGTACATTGGATTTCCGTTTCTTGTGTCAATGACAGAATTTTTTTTTCAATCTTACTTTATTAGCACTGTAAAATTTCCATTATGGCAAGTATCTTTTGCACTTATACTTGAACTTATACTTTGGTACAATGATCAAGATTACATTTGGCCCTTAAAACTTTCCTTTTTCTTTTATCCTGAAAAACTTTAACTTTCCTCGAAATCGATTCTGATTTTGTTTCAATTTGTGATCAAAATTCTTCGGCCAACATTTTAGTTTAACTCTTTGCGTGACGCTAATTCTATCAAAGTACACTCTTTTCTTTTGGTATTGATTTTTTGGAATTTGGTCATTTTTATGGCGCTTCCATTCCAACCAAAGTTCTTTTCCTTATTGAAGAGTTTTACTTGCTTTGCACTGACAGTTGTTCTTCTACTGGAACTCAACTATTCATTCCTAAACGGCATGTTAACCACTTTAGTTTAAATTTTATCTTTAGTACTATTCGATACTTTTTTGCTGGAAATTTTTTTCCCTTTTCTCTGTGACTAAAGCCTTACTTCCCATTTTGTCACCAACAATCTCTGGCAAATGTTTGCTACCTTTATCAGAATTAATCTCCATCATTTCTTCCATGACTGATGATTCAGAACTAACTTGATTTTTACTAGATTTTAATTCCGAAATCCTTTCAATTCTCATTTCCTTTTTTTTCCTCTTTTTGGAAAACTTTTTCATTTTTAACCAAAACCATTTCACAATTTTTTGACGAAAAAGTATCAACATATGATGTTTCTTTTTGGCACTTTGGGTGTGTTGTTTCTTCTTCTACAACAAAACTGACCTGGTTGACTTGGCAAGCATCCTCTTCTTTATTTCTCATCGCAACCCTTTCTTAGATGACTTGCTATCCCTTTTCCTCTACGACATTCACTATCTCTCCGTCGACCAATTCATTACTTTCTATTTCTGGTCACCTGGACTAACATCATATCTTTTTCTGCTCCTGCAATTTGTTACTGTTCCTTCCGATCCTCTATAAAAATATTTTTACACTTTCCACAATGTTTTCATCGAATTCTTTAAGAAAGTACGCTTTATTTCCTTTTATTTTACACACCTCGAAACTTAGAGAACTCCAATTACACACTTTTTGGAAAATATTTTCTTCCCAATCAATAATTACTTTCTTATTTACTTTAGTAATTGGTTCCATTTCTTCAGGTACAACTGTTAGTCAGACTATTATTCTTTTGGAATTCGATTGGCTACTTTCAGAATAACTCTTGGTAACATTTCCAGACTTAGTGCCACTGAATTTACCAATATTAAGTCAACTTGACTTTGTGTTCTACAGTATTTCTTAAGGCGTCCTATTTCACCACAAGTTCCTCTTTTTTTTGTTGATGAAGCATCATACACAATCCTTAATTTTGTAGTTGCATGTTCAGGTCTTATCACTACATGATGAAGGATATAGTATATTATGTTGCTGTATTCTATATCATCACCAATTTTTCTTTTAATTGCCTTTGAATAACTTCTTTATATTCTTCAAATAATTCCAAGTTCTTCCTAAAAGTTTGAAACAATTCGAAAAAACGAAATTTTACATTTTCGTAATTATCTTTAAGTTTCATTTTATCCTCCTTCCATGGTAATTTAATTACATATCTCTTTTCCTTCTTAGTGATTGATGAAGAAAATAACTCTAAAACTTTTTCTGTTTCTTTTTTTTCGAAGATATTTTTTATTCCAATTGATTTGGTTTCAAAAAAAATTTTCAAGGACTCATTTATATTGATGCTTTCTTCCAGGGTCAGATTAGTCCTAAGAATTCATCACAGTCTGGAAAATTCCCCTTTCACACGCCATCCGAAAATAAGTGCAGAATAATTTATTCTTTCAATTCATTCATTACTTATAGACCACAATATGTCGGCGCCAAACAAAATCGAAACATTTTCACCCATAAATCTGGAGTCGCTGAACTCTAATAGGCAATTCCAAATCTCTTCTTCTTTCTTTTTCATTTGATTACTTGGCATTTTTATATCCGCTGTAATCACTTCGATGAAATCAAAAGCGATACTTTTCTCAGGGTTATTATTGTTTCTTGAAGTTAATTCTACAATTTTTTTCGGGTGATTTTCACCAAATATATTTATGCCTTTTCTCCTTTTACTATTAAATTTAATTTTTTGGATAATTCTTCAGTAATAATAGAAATTTGAGAACCTCCGTCAATCTTACAAATCGATGATTTTGAGGTCCTTCTGCTATAGCATTTACAGTATACAAAACTATATTGAATCTAAATTTAGATGAAGAATTTTGACTTACTTCTAATGTTTTGGGCTCCTTTTCTTCTTTATCAGTCAAGTCCGTCTTAAAACAAGTTTATTCATGATGTTTTCATCTGCATTTTTTACACGAAACTTTATTTCTACATACAGTGGACATAAGATTACGTCCGAAACATAAAAAAAAACATCTTCCTTTTCTTTTTAAGAATTCTTGTTTCTTCTCAATATCAAAAACATTGCAGTTATATTTCGAATGATTTTCACAGTCGAAATTCTTTTTCTGATTTCTGACATCGATTGAATTCAAAATTTAGTTCTTCTGAAAGCTTCTGCTGAATAATTGGGCATAGTAAATTTCCATAGCATCCTGCGGTTACATTTAATGATGACAGGTTTCTTATCTGTATTTCACATTCATCATTTAGTCGTCTTACTGCTTTTAAGTAGAAAACATTTCGAATAGGTTCAATAGGGTGAAGTTTCATCATATGAGAGCTTATCACAATGTCCGTTCTTCCAAAACGTTCTTTCTGAATCTCGATAGAGGAATTGTAATTCTGATCACTAATGGTTGATCCAGATATACCTGTAGATGCGAGAGCGCTTCCTCCAAGCAAGGATTTCAAATTTGCTATTTTTTCAGTTTTTTATTATTCATTGTTGT